ACTTTTCGAAGTCTGCCTGCGTCCCCTAAGCGCCTGCGCGGCTCTTGGTATCCCGGGCGACGACCGAGCCAGTATAATTTTCGATGACGTCAATACCATGTAGAGCAGGTGGCGAAATTTTACTGAGACTTCGCCGCGGTCTGTAACCCTCCTCCTTTCTTAACCGGGATGAAGACCGGCAACGGTAGAGTTTCAAAAAAACAATCGTTACATGTCAAAAGTCAATCAAATTACATACAATTTGAAACCGTAGCAATCGACCGTACAACAACATCGCATGGATACAAATGATCGATGAAAGGTTGTGTCATAAACATACCACAACAGTCTATCACGATTTTATAGCCTAGTATAGCGGAGGTGCACTTAATTCTCGATACAACAAGAGGAAATATTATTTGTGCAGCTTAAAAACTACCTAGTGGATATGGATCACTTTCTACGCTATAACTAATGAATTAATGCATCACTTAGACAAAGTTGCAAGTCTACATTCTGAAATGCTAAGGTTCATGTTCTACATCTTTATAATTGTAAATTGTCCTGAGGAACAAAAGTATGTAGCTGTACACAGTTTGTAGTCGTAATGCCCACAAGCTGAATCCTTTTATTGTTACATTATTTCACATAAACATTTTTGTGGTTTAAACGATTAAAAATCTATGAATGCATGATAATGTGGCATACTAATCAACACACTCAAGCCTGTTTTGTACATGATTGTGCGATATTGGAAGCAAACAACAATAACGCTAAAGCGAAAACGTAGCGTTATTTGAAATATCGAATGAATCATTGACGACAGAATCATATGATTGCGCATTAATGATTCTCTGCACATTTTTAGAGCGCATGACTGTCGTTTAACGATCTAGTTATGATAGCTTCCTTCGCAGTATGTCTGTTTTCGGGTTTTTTTTAGAATTGAGCGTACAAGCATCTATGTGCAAAATTTCTTTTATAGCTTAAATGAGATTCATTGCCAACAGACTGCGACTTTCAAAGATACCTGCGCTCTGCCTTATTTTACAAGTAAAACAGGTTTTTACAAGACGAATGTTGTAAAGTATTTAAGTTGATTTATGTTTATATCAGAAAATGTTTGACCAGAATGTGTTTTTGAAAATCCATTTTTTCTCCCATTGCTCAGTTCTGAATACACTGACATACGTGGCTATCTCGTTTAAGATGTCATTGATGCTGCATACTACATGTGAAGACACCGGGGAGTAGCAGGAAAGTTTGCATGCTCCAACCTTTTATTTTAAGTGAGGACTCGTCATTTACTCC